GTATGACGAAAGCAACAATGACAACTATTGATTAGGGAAAACTGAAATGTACCTATAACTGTGTCGAATAAGTTTAGAAATAAAATTTGCTTAAGTTCATCTTCAAACATCTTAGAGACAACAATGTGTATGAGTACTACATATGTTTTTTTTCAAGACTTATAACCAGTATATAAAATCTTAGCAATCAAAACTTCATTAAAATTGAATTTCTTATATACCATTTCATACATTGCAAACTGTTCTATAATATATGATATTCTATTTAAAGCCTTCTTCCTTTAAAATTTATTTTTTTGATACAGCGCATAGAATTTCCATGAAAGTTTTTGAAAAAGTTCGGCTAAGAAGAATAGACAATTAAAAAATATTTTCACGACTCCCGAGCCTTACCGTTGAAAATATCTCCACGAGTTATAGAGCAAAATAGAGCTTTCACTTGTAGAAGTATATTTCAAAACACTTCAGCTATTCTCATTGCAAGGAGATTTCTTTATCCATACAGATCAGGAAAAGTGTTTTAATTTTATTTCATTTTCGAGGTTCTTAAAATCTTAGACAAATGTGTCATATTTGAGATGGACAACTTCAGAAAAAAAAATATTTAATGGTGAACTTTTCAATAGTCTATCTTAAAGGATTAAAACTGAAAACAGCTTCTCAAAAATATTTTAAACATCTATATTTAACTTTATTAATTAACGGTCTAATAACCTTGCTAGGATCAATATTATTTTATTCCTATACTTACTCTCTGTTTATATATATACTTTTTTAACTATACTATTCTTTATCACATCACTTGTGAGGATAGGCTGGCTATATAGTTAACTAATATAATATGGTACTAAAGAGTAAGAATTGGGACTAAAGATTTTGATCTTGATAAATATATATTGTGTAGTTGGTGATATAATTGTACATTAGACCTTGTTTTTGAATAATTGTGTTATTGTAGAAAGAGTCAAGAAGAACTTGTGAGGTTGCTTTCCTTCTATGTTCTTTCTATACCTCCTTTAAAATAGTGAAGATTTAGAGAAAAAGAAACTTTACGCAAAAATATTGCAATACTTATGTTCATATTAAATTCATGTGTGTCTGTCTGTCTTTAACGTAATTACCATATGGTAACCATAGTACAATTCAACATCTAGTAATTATAATTTAAATGATATCAGGAAAGATTATAAAGACATCATTCATCTAGTTGTTGTATGATCTATTTGAAAGTGAAGTTACCGAGTATTTTAAATACATTATCAAGTCTAATTGAAATTGTCTTAATCTTGTAAAGACGAGCATATTATTGTTTCATAAATTATAACTTTTTAAATAAATTTGACCATAAAATTATGATAAACGAAACTCTTCTTCGAAACTATGTGATAAATTTGACTACAAATAATGCTAATATAAACTGTTTGGAAAATCGCTTTCTTAATTTAGTTATAATTATTATTAGAAAGATAATTAAGAATACAAATAGAAATAATTCATCGCATTAAGACAGTTTTTTTGCTAATCTAGAACAACAATTATTAGCAATGGAATTTATCAAAGGTATGTAACATAATCTCATAAAATAAAAAATATGATTAAATTGCTTGAATTTGTAAATTTCTCATAGGAATAATAGAGAAAAAGCTTTCATTGATTCATAATAACGGTATCATGTACGTGCTGGAAATTAATCAGTAATAATAGAGCTTTTATGTTGTTTATTTTCCGCAATTTAAAAACGTTTTAGTAAAAGCGAAGTATCAGCTGATGAAAATATTTCAAAAAACAAGTCAATAGTCTAATGTGTATGACTATTATTCCAACGTATAAAGAAAGCATTATAAGAAACTATAATCATATTTCTGATGGAGGTAACTTGTTCCAAAAAAAATTCATAGTGCTAAGTATAATTGCATGATACTGTCAATAGACAAAATTTCATTACCGAAAAATGATTGAAAATAACATCTAAAAGAAACTGTATAGATACTCATTCTATAAAAATAGCTTCTTGATTTTTGAAGATATATATATATTGGATTTTATTTGGTTCTATAGAATATCCTAGTATATATTCTTTTTCTTACCTACAAGATGTCCCAATATATTTTGTGTACGAAATTAGAATTTGTTTTTTGAATTAGCTACAACTTGTATAATTAAATCTTTAATTGTGAACCGTATACTTTTCTTTGAATTCTATAGCCGAAGTTGCTTTTAATCATTGCATGTTAATTAATGTAAAAGTCTGGTAATAACATTATTTTTTTTCTTTGTAGTCTCAGATTTGCCAAGGAATTAAAGACTCGATATGTCGTATGAGAAAGAAAGAGAAAAAATATTTCCGGCAATTTTTTTTTTTATTACATTGATAGTCAGACAGATCTAAAAATTGTTTTCTACTTCTGATGTCAACATATACTAGAAGCTCTCTAACTTCTCACTCGACGATGTAATGTGTAATCAACTTTTTATCTTTGCATTTATTAGACTAAGAAAAGATGCCTTAAAAAAGATGTTCAGTGAAACAAATAAAAAATTCATGCTCATGAAAGAATGAAATGAAAAGATTATGGCAATACGTGGAAGTTGAAAATGTATTACATTAAACATATAAACAGACAAGGAAAAACGATCACCAAAATTCATGCTCGTTATTGACAATCTATTCTAACTGAGAAACAATCAGAGATGGGGATTCATTCAGTCTCCAAAAAATATGAATTGATCTCATATCTAGAACAAATCGAATTCAATTCTAGCAAAAAGAGAGAAACTGGCAAAGAGCTTTGCATTCAGGCACGAGAATGTTACTTGTGAAATTTCTTATGTTCTATTCTCATTTCTACGATTGATTCACACGAACATGAATATAAGACAAAACTGATTAGAGTCCATCGAGTCTTAAATTTTCAGATCTGGCCCTACAAGATAGACTCTGATAGTGAGTATGTTATCTAAATTATTTTATACAAATGCACAAAGTTATGTGTATGTATGGCTGAAAGACAAATTAATTGAAGAGACGAAATGAATAGAATGAGGTGGAATAAATTGCTCATCTTATCGATGTTGTCGTTATCTTCAAACTCGAAATGACATGAGAGGGAAAATTTTCATTTCTAAATCAATTGATGATGGTCAATAAAATGAATGAAATATTCAGTTTATATATATGTTGTGGTCAAAATTAAAATTCAGTCAAATTTTAAATTTGCCTAGTCAAAATTGAAATTTTTTTTGATGAACAGAAGAAAATAAAAAAAAAGAAAAGTTAACATACTAACCGATTTGTTTTTATTTTACAATAGTTTTAAACAAATATTTTATGAATTCTAAATTAATTTAGTCTATCCCAGGTGAATGAATCCGATACTGGATCCTATCAGTCAACAAAATCCTGTGGGAATCCGGGTTATGAAATCACTAACGGATCCGACGGGCGAGTCCTATTTTATTAGCTGAGTACTAATTAGCATCTTATCCCAATAGTAGAGGTCGGTCAGAATCGTACGCTGGGATTCAATCAGATTTCGATAGTACGATCCGATCAGATTTAACAATCGAAATCTGGATGTCATTTAATAACCCAGATTCCCATAGGATTTCGTCGATCTTATAGAAATTTCAATATAATCAGATCGGATCCAACAGGAATTCGCTCGGATTAGATTGTCGGAATCATTCTCCTGGGATGTTCGAGCATTCTCTCCTCTTTGAATGACATTTGGTAGAGTAGAAAACATTTTTTTGATGGGCATATCGTCGTCTCACTTTTGTTTCGAAAATTACAAGTATGTTCGAGTGTGGAACCACAAGAATAAAGCTTTCAAGCTTCGATAATGATAACTGGTTTTAGATTATTAACATTCCTATAATTGAATTCATTGGAACAAGCAACGTTTAAATCCAGGAATGGTTTGCCTACAAATGTATGTTCTCAAGCCCCATATTGACAAATTAATTTTCATAAAAACATTATTTTTTTCAATTTTGCCAAAGATGACACATAGTTTCGAAGCTGTATGCTCGTGCTTCCACAGTCGAACATAATTGTAATTTTTGAGACAAATGTGCGATGAAGACATGTCCATGAAAAAAAACCTTTTCTGCTGTACCAAATGTAATTCAAAGAGGAATGAATACTCAAGCATGAACTAAATTAATTTAGAATTCATAAAATATTTGTTTAAAAGTATTGTAAAATAAAAACAAATCGGTTAGTATGTTAACTTTTTCTTTTTTTTTATTTTCTTCTGTTCATCAAAAAAAATTTCAATTTTGTCTAGTCAAAATTGAAATTTTAATTTTGACTGAGATTATATTGGGCAAAAATAAAATTTTAATTTTGCCTAGACAAAATTAAAATTTCAATTTTGACTAGGCAAATTTAAAATTTGACTGAATTTTAATTTTGACCACAACATATATATATATAAGTATCGGTAAAAAATGTAAGTTTGATCAATAGGACAAATTCAAAGAGTAAATGAAAATTCAATTATTGTACTAGCAAAGCAGCTTTAAACTCTTTGTTAGTTTATCTTCTTTTCTTTTCTTATTGATCAAAACTGGTTTTGCTGGTACTGATGATTTCCAATACTTTAAGCGAATAGTCATACCGATAACATTTTTTGCATATAAAATTGATGAAAAGTGAAAATGTTCTAAAAGTTTGGGAGAGATGCGCATCCTGTGAATGCCAACGGCTTATCTTCATTTGATGGTTTATTTTCATATTGGCGTTGGAATGTTCAAAAACTTATGTGTTTCATTAAATATACGCTTTCTTTAAAATGTTTCTGTGAGACGGTAGTTATAAATTTAAATATTTTAAAAAAGAAAAACATATAATTATCATATACGTGAGGCGATTCCTTAAATTCATCTATGATTCGAATACTTGTTATAGAAAAACGATAGTACACAAAATCAAAACTTGTTAGTAAATAAAAAAAACTTATATTCACAATTCTTTTTCATAAACTGAGTTTTCTTTGTTATGTGCATGTTTTCGTTGCTACCATCTTCGCTTCAGGACATGTTTTAAACAATTGTTCTCGTCTTGTACAATTCTCAGGAAGTCGATGTACAGCTAATGGTCTATCATAAAATACAGTTTCAACTGCAAATGTTATAGCTATATCAACTGGAGCAATTAATCCATTTACTCGACGTAAATTCAGTGAATACCAAACATCTTCTTGTGATTGTTGATCATATGGAACAAGTGCAAGTAAAGCAAGTATTTTACTACGACTTCGTAATGAAAATCCACCATTACCTACTAAGTCTTTGCTAGGTCCAAACCATGCTGGATCCCATGGAGCACC